CTGACAGGGAGTGGGTGTGGATAGAAGCAACTACAAACTAGGGGAAAGGAAGGAGACTGACTCCAGGGAGCAACACAAAACTAAAAAAACCAACTACAATGCCACAAAATGGGAAAGAAACCAATGACCAAGAAAACACAAAATCACAGTGTACTGTAAAAACCCAAAGGGCAGAACCAGAAGTCCACAAAGGGACGAACCATGACAGGAATGAGTTACATGAAGACTTCAAAATAATCTAAAACAGTAACAGTAGTTAACAGGATGCATAAATCTTTACTGGTAAGTTACAAAGTTATATTATATATACACTTTTCCTAATACATTTCTGTCATGTTCAGTTGTATACTGTGATGCGGTAAAAAACTGTTGTAGATTAATTCTGGGAACTATGATAAAAATATACAATAGGGTCAGGCATCATAAGTACCTGTTTACAGCCTAAATACTCTCAGTCATTACATTAATTATCATCCTGTTTGCATTTTTATGTGTACTATGTAGACCAAACAAGCAATGTGAATGTTGTAACAAGTCCAGCTTTACCATCAGGCATGTAGGGTAAACTGCTAAAAAGATACTCTGAAGAAAAAAAAAATACATCCACAAATCCCTTTATGAAACAGGGTGGTGGTGGTATCATGATGCGAGATTGCTCTTCTCCGAAAAGAATATAAGCATCAGAGGAAAACAATGAAATTTTCTGCTGACAGCAAGTCTTAGTCCAATCAGACTGTTACTGAGCTTCAAACCAATGAAGGATGAGCACAACTCATCACTACATGTGAAAATCTGGGAGAGACATATATCAAAATATATGCAACTATAAATTATATACAAATGTGGTTCTACCAAATGTTGACCTATGATAACTTTAAATAAAACTGCATGGTGTACTTTGCAGATTTACTTAATGCAAAAAGAAAATAACAAACATGTTCTTGTTCCACTTCATGATATATACAAATAAAAAAATATTTGTGGTTGCAATGAGACAAATATCTAAGAGTTCAGAGGGAATTAATACTTTTGTGAGTTTGTTTATTACCTGTGACAAAAATTGCAATTTTATTCAGCTGCACTCCCAACACACAACCATAACCTGATTTATCTGTTTTTAATAGTAAAAAATGATGGAATTCTCAAAGCAAATTGAGAACATGAAGGTTTTGCTTCTAATAAATCATCACATTTTAAGCAAATATTTCTTGTTCTTCCATCCCACAGCTTTACCTCCAAACATCAGACCAGATGTACGAATAAAGCAGCTCACAGACCAGTTAGACAAACACACACAAGTGTCGATGTAAACAGCCTCAAACAGACTGTCCATCAATGACAGTTTCACTTACCTTCTATGTCCAGATACTTAAAGGTAACACTGAGGGACAAAAGCCAACAAGTGGCTAATAAATGTTGTTAGACATGGCTAACAAAGTGAAGACCAGGTCAGTGCCTGTCAGACCCCATTACAGTTTCTCCTCCTTCCATGTAAAGCAGTATTAGATCCACCGACAGAAAAAGCATCAACTTTCAACTTCAATTATTCAGCCAGAAAAACAAGCAAAAATATCTACTCTCTTCACATTTTTCTTGCTTTCAGAATTAAAATCCTTCCACTGATTCTGTGGCTAATCCTTGGAGATAAGAACATTTATTCCACTTCATCCTGGGTTATTAAACTTAAGATTCTCCTAATTATTTAAAATATAGTGCTTTACAGCTCTTCAAAGCCACAAAGGTTTTTTTTTATCAAGGATGTTATGTGACGAACCAATATAATCTAAACATTGTTCTGATTGTCATCTTATTTAAAACAAGACTGTGAAAATGTGGCATGCATTTGTGTTCAGCCTTTCTGAGTAGGTCAAATGCACGCCCCTTACAGCTGCATCTAGACTACATACTACTTAGCAAACAAGTCACATTCAAATTCAATGGAGAGCGCAGGGAATACCATTTTTCAAGTCCTGGCACAGATTCTCAGTTGGATTCAGGTCGGGACTTTGACTAGGCCATTCTCTCATACTGTATGGATCTGATTTGATCAAAACCATGCATTTTATCTCTGGCTGGATGTGAAGGTCGAACCCAGTTTATGAGTTTAAGATCATCCGCAGCCTAAAGGTAGAATTGTTGGAGTGGGCAACATACTTTTATCCTATCTTCACACTTTCCCAACTGAGAGCTTCAGTACTGCAGCTCCTCTAAAGATACTACTGATTAGGTCTGCAGTTCGGACATCTTTGCTCCATATTCTCCTTTGGGAGATTTTCCAAGCTTGAGATATTGTTTAGGAACATAATCCATCCAAAAACCTCTCCTGGACTTCCTCTTTGACCTGTATGTTGATCTTAAAGATGCTGTATGATTGCTGTCAGTTATTCTTTAGGGGTATTAGAGTAAAGAGGTTGAATAGAAATGCACACCTCTGTTTTGGTCTGTCACATAAAATCCCAATTATCTCATTAACATTTAAAAAACTTCAAAGGGTGCAAATACTTTTCATAGACACAGCCTGAAATATGAACACTGATCCTGCTGCAGTGAAACATGATCCAGATTTATCAATCTGAGGTTCGGTTCAGAAGACCAGCTAAGGGTTTCTGAGATTTTTGAGCTGTGTTTGCTGACTTCTATTTTAACAGTCTACCACGGTCCTTCAGTACAGCCCTCAGGGGAAACACTCTCCATATGTAATAATGTAAAGTATGCACAGTCAAGATAAGTTGTTTATCAGTCATAATGACCACAAAAAAGGACATTAACCCTTTTTAAAAGCAACCAAACATATCTAAATGTTGATTTTAATTCACACTGCAGATTGTTAAATCAGATTAAATACAAATTACAGACTAAATATTGTGTTTTTGTCTGTGTGAATATTTTTTGCAGTGTTTTCCATAAATTACAACCCAGCATATTTATGCTGAATAATCAGTTTTCTCGTGGCTCTGTGGATCTTCCAAGTTGGGCCTCATTCTTCTTTCTTATTAATATAGTCACCAAAGCTAACAGACCAGAGCCGTTCTGCTACTGCGGTGAGCTGTCACAGCAAATATCCCCTCAGTCTGACGGGGTTTTGTCCCGCTGTAACATCTCCACCAAACCCTGGAGAATTGGTGGAGCACATAGCGGCATCACATCTGCTATTCCTGATTATTGACTCCTAGTCTTCCAGCAGTGATTGCAGAGGACAGAACAAGCCCGGGCAGCCAGAGAGCTCAGCGTGATACGTGACAGACTGCAGGAGAAATAAGAAGGCTGCTATGGAGGAAATTTAAAAAAGCAGCATAGATTCATTGTTGGGCGTTGTGGTCATTTTTACTCCTTCTCTCATCTTTGATCTTTGACTTAATTGTTCATTCACTGTGTTTACTTAAGGCAAAAATGGCATATAATCTCCCAGCTTCCCTCCAGCATAGATGGTGCTGCCTCAGTTTCTCCATTATGATCAATTGTTCTGTGTTGTGAGGAAGTCATTAATCTTTCTGTGCTCACTCTGCTCTAAATTGCCCACTTTGTTTGTTTGCTGCTTTTTTCCAAATTAATTCCCTGGGGTCCAATTCTCCAGCAGAGAGTATGCTTTTAAAGTCGGATTTTGCTTTAAAACGTGTTGTGGCCCCTCAGAAGCACAGTCAATTATGTATTACAGGATGAAAGAGTGCAGAGCGGGGACGCACAACTGCTGCACAACTTCAGCTGATACTGCGGCCCTTCCCTCCCAGGCCTGGTATAAACTGGATTTTCATGTGCAGCTGAATATGCGCAGGACTCATCTCTGGGGACATGTGAGAGGTTTCGACCTTTCCACTAGCTGATATGGTGCAAAGCATGCAATGATTTTAGCCCATCCCTGTTAAGGAAGAAGAGTTGGAAATGTAGGTGTTGATGAGCTCCCATTCTAGTCTTCTCAGCTTTCTGTTTCAGCACATTTTTCTCTCTGAAATCTTGCACAAATCTGCAGATGTCTGATCTATAGTAATGTAAACTTTACAAGAAAAAAAAGGAGAAGAAGTTCCACATTTTCCACTTTATTTCTTCATAAAAACTCAGAGTTCCTTCTAACATAATCATCTCCTCAGCCTGATGGCTTTTTTGGCTAAAAAGGCATGTCAGAAAAAAATATACCCATTTATGCTTTCCAGATTTTTGTTCCACTTTTTAGGGTAAGGGAAAATGGATAAATACTGCAGCAGGTAAGCTTTTGCTTCCATGCCGATATTACAATATTGCTCTGTCCTCCATGCAAAATAAAATGTTTTTTTTTTAAAACATTTTAAACGCTCTTTTGCTGAAAACATAAAGAAAAGAATCCTGAAGCATCAGAGAAGCACCTAAGTTTTATTGCGTGCATATTAATTTCCTCTAATATTTCCTTATCTGCTTTTTCTTGCATAAATCCCAGTCAGGTCATGGCCCACTTTGTCTGCAGAACCAGCTTTTTAAAAAATTCTAATGTATCATTATAATTTATAATGAAAATATAGTAACCACCATGATGCATACAGCTAAGCAGACACAGAGGATTAAAATATTGTATAAAGTCCATTTCAACAATAATTGCTTGTTTCTTTGTGCTTTTTTCCCCAGTGGCATCTCCCACTGGGACCAATAGAAACAAGTGGTACAGTAGTTAGTTCTCAACAGTTGGACTTTTCTGGAGTAAAATACAGGAATGATGCAGAATGTTCTGTGACGCTTGTGAGATCAGTCTCCTCTGCCCCACTTTGTTCGTCCCCCACACTTACATTAAACGTGTAAAGGAGACACTCAGAGGACGTTTGTACCCCCCCATCCCCACACAGTTTTAGCTGCTCCTCTTTCTTCTTGCAGCACCTTTTCCTGCTTATAAATCATTTCTTCCATTTTTGCTTTCTATTCCCGCTTCTCTTTATTACTTTATAGTGTATTCAGTCCATATCTTTTTCAACAATACTTCTACATTCAGGGTGAAATGCAAACAGAGATAGTAAATGAGCAAAAGAAAAGTGAAATACCTTTCAATCTGGTTGTGGATCTCCCTCTTGTATCCTCTGTGTTTGTCTTGATAAACCACAAAAAGAGTAAAAAAATAGTACAAGAGTTTCAGAAAGAGAAAACATCTGAAAAAAAGTGCTTTAAAAATCACATTTTTTAATCTTCTAGTGAGCCATCCTGAGCTACTGTAGTGTGCAGCTTCTGTTTCACTGTTTCCTTCACATACTCTTTCAACTCCTCTCCGCTCTGCTATAGCTGTTCTCTCTCCTCTCTCTCTTTCTCTCTCTGTTGCACACACATTCATGCTTTCTCACTGTCTCCCTTCTCCAGCAGGAGTGATCCCTCTCAATCACGCTTCCCCTTCTTTGTTTATGGACTCTTGATCAGATCCTCTTCTGGATTTCTGTTAATTTTCACCTAAGATCTCACTTTCTTACCACCGATTTTCCTCATTACTCTTCCTCACACTCTCTGTCTGTCTGTCATTATATTTCATTTCCTATTAATTTATCATATCCATCAATCACTTATACTTGCCATGTAATGTGTTTCCTGCTAATTTATTCGTTTCCTGTAGATTTGACCACCCGTCGTTAAAATGCCTTGAAGTCATTGTAAAATAAAAATAAATCTCTTCATACTGTTGCATATTTTTAGAATGACATAATTTTGCAGGTCCAGATGTGGGCCAGTCTATTCCTAATTCATTAACTTGTTAACAATCAATCAATAAACCTATATACTATTATTTGTAAAGATTCTTTTAAATAAAAATTTTAAAAGTCATGTAAAGGTCCATGTACTACAAAAGAACATAAAACTGAGCAATACAACAGCAAAACCTTTATTCTCTCTATATCTTGGTTCCATTTGGCCATAGAACATGATGTTAGTTTTGGACGTTGGGAACCTTTGCAAACTCTCCCACAGGGACATGCCATCCTGCCCTCTCATTATGTTTATGACAAAAAGCATCTGCTTATAGACGCTCTTTCTCTTTACCTGTTGACTTGAAGAGAGGGGAACAATGTCATGGAGACAAAAGACAACATGTCTAAACTGATTTCATTCTAGAACCCCAGCCAAGCTAAGCAGTCCTGAAGCCATATTTAGAAGCAAATCAATGCAAAAACGACTGTAATATTCTTTCCTTGTATACAGAAAGGACTCAAAATTAGTGATGGTTGTCTGGCGCCTGGATTTGGGTGGCTCGTGTGCCGAACTTGGCCCAGGGGGGCGGACTACCAGGGTTACTATAGCCTGGCAGCCATGGGTGTGGGAGGACCATACGGATCTGGGGGCCTTAAAATGCTGTGACGGGCTGGAGGCGGGGTTCTCTCTTTGGCGGGTTGGCTACTTGCACTGGCGTCTGTGGGGGTGGGTGCGTGGTTTATGGGGGGATCCCATGGAGGGGCTGTGGCATCGGCAGTATACCTTCTGCGATGTCTATTTTTGCTATTATGCGTTATTGTCTTTTCATGCGCTCTTACCACTCAGTTCTTATACCCTCTTTCTTTATCACTTCCCTTTCTGTCTCCATGTCCGTTGTATTCGCTTTTACTCCTGAAATAATTTTCAATAAAGTTTAATAAACAGCCACCAAGCAGGACCTTTTGGTCACAGTCATAATCTTCTGCTTGTGAAAGCAAATCTGTTGGGGTATGATCTAGCTATGGGACATCTGTTCCAAGATGACTAATGTCTAGCTAAAGCTACCAAAGTGGACTGGAAAGAGTAACTTCTGCTTTGGTTAACAGAACAAGTGACATACTGGTTGAAATGAATGATCTCTCCATGTATTTTCTACTTCTGACTCCACCTTAGTAATGCCAATGAAACCATTTTATGCTTCATTTGAGCACTCACACCTTAATTTTAAAAGGCCACCAGTGACAATGTTTCTGATGCTATTGGAGGGTTTGGAGACTGATGTGAAAACATGTCAATTTTTACTCTACTTGATGAGAACTGGGTGGGACTGCGGGCCTGCACTTCCATCACAAAAGCTTAAAGCTGCAGTTACACCAGGAAATATATAGCTTTCATGCACAAGCGTTAAATACTGAGCACAACTGCTACTTACTACTGTAGGTCCTTATTATTAACAGTCTATAGGGCTTGGGACCACCATGAGTCTTTGTTTATGTAAAAATTAGGCAATCAAGTCATTCTGAGATTTTCACTAGGAATGCCAACAGCTTATTTCTTGATCTAGTAAAATGACAGAGGGAATCCTGGAGCACTCAGTCCAGCTCTTCTTATAAATCTATGCCTGCTGCTGGAGTTTCCTGATGATCTGCTGCAGTTTGAGTTTTGATCAACTGTTTAAATGCCTTTTTGTTTTGCCTGGTTGAATCCTGGGTCTCCAGAACCAGTTTGTTAAAGAAAGACCCTAAGTTGTTTATTCAATCTTGGACCTTCTTCCTGCAAGAGAACAGTGCTATAAATCATGCAGCCAATTATTTTTCCTAAAAGATATAGTGCATAATAACGTATAGTAAACCTGTCGCCTTATACTGTGAACTACTAAATATGAGTTGTTGTAGCCATTGCAGGACTCCTAGAAATAAGCCAATGTATTTGCTGCAAAAATGTAAATAGAAACCCTATAGTTTTATGTAATAGGAATATGGTTAAATACCATGAAAGGTTTTGTGGCATTGTAATCCAACAATTTGATTGCTTTAACAATCTTGAACAAGCGGCGTTTCTCAGGTTTGACCCTGATTGTTTTGTATTGCAAGTGAGAAATGAGAAAGCAGATGCTTCTGTCATTTTAACCCGTAGGAGAAATGAATACAGAACAAGCTGCTGTCCATTTTATGTGTGTTTCTTTTTTTCCTTTTAAACTGGTACACTTTTCAATTTAGAGAGCATGCATATTTTCTTTGGGAGACATGTTGATTAAAGACCAAATTCTTCTGAGGTAAACAGGCTTTGCACTGAGGCTGGAAACCTTGGCAGTCAGATCTGCACCAATCAAAGCCTGTTTGTTTGTAGGAAGCTTAAAGTCTCACTGCATTACCATCTGTGACCCCCTGGGTAATTCTGTGGGTTTAGTCTCTATGAGTGGCAAAACAATCATATACCGTATATATATATATATATATATATATATATATATATATATATATATATATATATATATATATATAATTGTTGCCTTGCATAAACTCTTCAGTATTTAAAACCTCAAAGCTAAAAGGTAAGTACAACAGCAGTGTATTTAAACGTTTAGCAAAGTTATACATTTATGTGACCTTACCAACACTGTTTATGTAATATCTCTACTGAGGCCAACAGCATTTATGCTCTTATCCTCGCATTTAAGGCCCATTGAAAGAGAGAAACACAGGAGGTACAAAGCTGGCTTAAACACATTAATGTGCACAGCAGAGCACTCTGTTGCCCTTTGAGAGGAGATGCAGATGAATTCTACCACCTGTAGTCTCTTAAGGACGCCATAAAACCTGCACTGAAACACCTGATAGAAGCTCTTGTAGCTGCTGTTCTTTAATGGTTGCACCACTTGCTTGGTGTGTATTTGTCTTGCTCTCGTCCCATCTTTGCTCCTGTTGTGAGTTCTATGCCGACCGTCCCTTTCTCCAGTGAAAATGTGCTCCCATCCCGGCTCCCCTTGTTAAACCATATTGTGTTAAACACAAGGAGAGAAAAGTGGGTCACGAGCGAAAGGCGAGAACACAACAGAAGGAATTTAAAGGGTAATTATTTAGTTTCAATTAGATCTTGTTTCAGTGAGTTTGACTACTTTGGTAAGGTTAAAGTAGAATCAAAAAAAGACTTGATTTATGAACCTGAAAAAAGTAGTTAAACTGATATTTTTTCTATACAACCGTAATGACCCCTGCACTGCCACTGCAACAATGTGCCAGAGGATCTGCCAGTAGTTACGCCAGCTCAAGTTCCACAAGCTTTTATTAGGAATAATATAAATAAAATATTATTCTTATTTGGAAGTAGTTATAGACTAACAGGTGTCTATGACAAACTGTTTGCGCATAAACAGCAATAGAAGTGTGGCAGGTGGCCTGCCAGCTTAGTGACACCATGTGGCAGCTGCATGCCAGTGAAAGTGCCACCAGAAGTGCCATTGTTATCCAGCTTCCACCGGAAGTGCCACTACCAGATGCAGGGAGGGAAAACCAAGTCAGAAAGCTCAAAGAACTGAATAAGTGTATGCTTGTACATAATATGTTGGTTTACTGACAAATCCTTTCAAAGTCTCTCTTTCTTTCTATAGATTGTGAAAGCTGCTCATCCTGCCCCTGCATCAAGACCCTCTCATCCATTTCAACCAGGCCAGTGGGTGCTGAATAAGGACCTGAGTCGCAAACATTGTAAGTCTAAAATGTTGCAAGAATGGTTCCAGATCTTCCTTGTCAGCCATAACGCTCTGAAGGTTCCATTCTTACTGGATCCATGCTACTCATTGCTTACTGTTTTCTGAGGATCCACACTGGAGTTGTACTTTACTAGATTGAAGAAATAATATCTGAAGCCGCTTATCTGCAGCCATGCTTCCTCTTATTTTGTCCTTTTGGTGGTGACCATGGATTGATCCCATGCTCTGTGACACACACCCTAAAAATAAGTGATCCTCTCTTATTATGTCAAACTCTAATCTCTTTCATTCTTATCTAATTCAAAAATTTGTGGAAGCAAAATGCATTTTTTTCTACAAAGACTGTTTATTCTGATGACTGTGTTTGAAACATGTTTTTTTGTTTTTTCACAGCTTTCTTTCAGGAAATGTTTTCCATTCCTGTTGATATAGCAAATGCTGTTAATGAGTTCTTTACAAGATTACCCTGGTTTCTCTTTATGATGCTACAGCCTACGGAGTAGAGGAGGTTGTTTGCTAATGTTTCCTTTGGAAGCTTTCATGTATGGCTGTTCTTTTGCTACTATTATTCATTGCCTGTATATGAGTATGTATATATATATATATATATATATATATATATATATATATATATATATATATATATATATATATATATATATATATATATATATATATATATATATATATATATATATATATATATTCTTAGTAGGTTGAGAGATGTGTGTGCCTTGGTCAGTTGTGATCTTGTGTTTCTGTGAAGAAGTGACCTCCCTCATGTTTTGGTAAAGAAATCATCCCTCGAGTTTCTGTGAGGAAGCAACCCTCGTATTGCTGCTTTGTATTACCTTGTATTACCTTGTT